CCAGCTTTTAGTTTTTTAGTAAATTTCAAGCGGTGCATACCATTGTCCCATTCTTCATGCACCAAACGAGGCTCTTCGCCGTGGTGTTCGTTGAATAAAAAAGAGTTTGAGGCAGCGATAGTCAACTTGCCTGTGGGCGTTTTTGCCACAGAAGTCAACAACGGCACAAGAGCATGAGGGCGGTCGATAAGATGATAGAAATTTTGCACATCACGCAACATATCAGGTGTTTGCATGATACTGATAGGCGTAATTTCAACATCTTTTTTGGCGGTAATCTCCACATTTATCAAAGCCGAATGGGGCAATTGACGCAATGCCAGTACTTCTTGCGATACCGAAACAGCCGTTCCCATATCGAAAGTTGTTGTAAAAATGGCATTTTGCATATCCAATGATTGCTTAAAATTTTGGATATTTGCACGATTAACCATTTGATTATCAACGATTAACTCCATGCTTGCAAATTCAAAAACTTTCATAATATTACCCACACGTCCACGTCCGTAGGTGTCAAAAGCACCATTCAATACTACGTCTTTTACTTTGAGAGGGTCGGGCGAAGAAACAATTCCAATCATGCCATTGGCAGAAGTTTCGCCATAATAATTGTTGGGGTCTATTTTGTTGGCAGTCAGTTTCCACGCATCTTGTGCGTAGGCACTCGTTGCCAATAAACCAAAGGCAACTGCCGATAAAGTAACTCGCAAAGATATTTTGAAACAATTGGCAATAGAGGAGGGGCAAACTTATATTTCGAGTTTCGACCGCCCAAATCTAAGCCTAAGTGTTTTACCTGGAAGAAAGCGTATTCAGCAAATTCAGGATTTTATTCTTACCCAAAAAAACAATTCGGGTATTATTTATTGCCTCAGCCGAAAAGCAACCGAATCTGTTTCTGAAAGTTTACGAAAAGCAGGTTTCAAAGCCGAGTGTTATCATGCAGGGCGAGATGCTGCCACACGCTCACGGGTGCAAGAAGCCTTTATCAAAGATGATATTCAGGTAATTGTAGCAACCATAGCTTTTGGAATGGGCATTGATAAATCGAATATCAGATGGGTAATTCATTATAATTTGCCCTCGAATGTAGAAAGTTTTTACCAAGAAATTGGGCGTGCAGGACGTGATGGCGATGATGCCAAAACAATTTTGTTTTATAGTTATCAAGATGTGATGACAAGGCAAGACATGATTCTGAACTCAGAATTGCCCGATGAGCAGAAAGAATTGATGCAAGCCAAACTCGACCGCATGAAACAATATGCCGAAGCCGATATTTGCCGAAGACGCATTTTGTTAAGTTATTTTAATGAAGATGTTGAGCAAGATTGCGGCAATTGTGATGTCTGTAAAAATCCGAGAAGTAAGTTTAATGCCACTGTTTTGGCTCAAAAAGCACTTTCTGCTATTGCTCGCACCAAAGAAAAAGTAGCAATGGGTGCTTTGATTGATGTTTTGAGAGGAAGCAGAAACCAAAACACCTTGAAACATCAATACGACAAACTGCCTACTTTTGGCGTTGGTCGAGATGTGCGAGGCGAAGAATGGGCAGATTATATCAGCCAATTTCTCAATTCGGGCATTATAGATATTGCCTACGATGAAGCCCATGTACTGAAATTGAATGCTGCAAGTTGGCAAGTGCTGAAAGGTGAACGCCAAGTAGAAATTGCCAAGTTCATCTCTCTCAACGAGCGAAAAGCCCGTGAAGAAGAGCTTGTGCCAAAAGAAAAACCCAAACAACAAATCATTAAAGATGCTCTTTTTGAGCGTTTACGTCAGCTACGCAAATCATTGGCAGATAGCCTAAATATTGCACCATATTTGATATTTACTGATGCTACTTTATCCGAAATGGCACAAACAAGACCAATTTCAGAAGCCCAAATGAAAGCAGTTTCGGGTATTGGTTCTGAAAAATTTAGGCGTTTTGGCGATGTTTTTATGAAAGAAATTATCACTTTTGCCAAAGAAAACACCGCCACAGGCACACGTGTTGCCAAAGGTTTTACCTACGTTCAAACCTACGAATTATACAAAGATGGATTGGGTATTGACGAAATTGCTGAACAGCGTCAGCTAAACCCCACCACCATTGTATCGCATTTAGTACGATTAAAATCAGAAGGCTATGTCATTTCGTTAAGTCAATTTATTGAGCCAAAAGCCTATAACGAAATCATTGATGCCGCTCGTTTTATTCAGATAAAAAGAGGCGATGCCATGTTGCCATTATTTGAGCATCTGCAACAAAAATATAGCTACGATAAAATTCGTTTAGCTCTTGCCATTTGGGAGTTTGAGGAGAATTTTGGGTAAAAGGCTTTTT